GATGATGATGATGATGATGATGATGATGATGATGATGATGATGATGATGATGATGATGATGATGATGATGATGATGATGATGATGATGATGATGATATGATGATGATATGATGATGATGATGATGATGATGATGATGATGATGATGATGATGCTGATGATGATGATGATGATGATGATGATGATGAGGAGGAGGAGGAGGATGATGAGGATGATGATGATGATGATGATGATGATGGTGATGTTACGATGGTGATGGTGATGGTGAACTCAGGAGATCTTCCTAGACGCCAGCCTGAAGGTTTGGACTTTCACCAGCAAGTTGGTGACATAATGAGATAGGAGATGCACGGTGGCCTGCGCGACTGGCATTGGGTGCCAACCACAGCTCGGAGCTCGGAATGCAAGAAGGGACATCGGGAGGGGCAGGACTTACACATTCTAGGGCGGAAATCTGCAAACCTTACTTTGTCACGCTCATGCATGAGAGGCTGAAGCAATACAGAATTCACTTTACATGCTCCACCCCCCAAATCCGAAAACGAACCCTGGCCTTTCCACAGCACGTGTTGGCCGCTATTCTAGCCTGGCTATTTGCACGCGCTGGAGATGGAGGCCAAAGAGGAGAAGAAGGAGGACGAGGAGTGGCCTGAAACTCTGCCTCATGCCAGGGTAAGCGAGGCGGCGTCAGACTACAATCTGGCCAGCTCGTCTCCCGGCGAGGCTCGTGTTCGGCTCCACCGATCCATGCCCCACTGGACCAGGAGGGGGGAGAAGGAGATTGGACGGGGAGAGAAGGCAGGGAACGTGTGCAGGCATTGGGGGGACTTTACCGACCCTTTGCCTGGCCTGCCCCTCGACACACGCACGGTCTTCCTTGCCATGCCAGCGCAGGTAGCCATAAAGTACGTGTAAGGTATGCGCCCAGCCACCCCCAATTCTTGCCTACCTCCCGCCACTACCCAATGAGTATCTGCTGCGCCTGCCCAGCGCCAGGCACGCTGAGGGAGGAGGAGAGGAAGCGTAAGGGCGGGAAACGGTGCTGATGAAGACTGGCGAAAGCTAATCCCAGCGGTATTCATCGATGCACGGCCTGCCTTGCCAACTGTGAGATTTCGGGCTGCTCCGCGTTGCGTATGTGTGAATTCGTTGTACCTGGCTCGCTAGCCCAAACATAATATTGGAGACACGGGCACTTTGATCCCAGTAAGCTACTCCGCAGCACGGCCTGCCTGGCCACATGCGGGTCCTCCCGCACACAAGGTAAGATGGATGCAACTTCGGTGTCATAGCCACGAGTCTGGAGATGCTGGTAGTGTAGTCGCTCACTGCAATTCTCAAGACAGAGTGCACGATGCAAACTGCGAGTGCTCAAGGTCAATGTGGTTCTAACCAGGATCCTGCAGGCTCTGGCAGGGATTCTCCCTTCCCCTTCTAATTTCAATTGCCCACTGCTAAGCATCTGATGGGGTCTCT